AATAAAAAAAATGACTGATATTGCTTATCATACGAAAATACTTTAATTATACTTATGTACTGGACTCTTTTTAATTCACTGTTCATAAACTAACTCTATCCTTGGTCTTTTCTTTAGTTTGACTATCGCTTCCAGTGATTAGTAAAAATAAGAAAGTAGTTCTACAATTTTGAGACTATCTGTTATAGTGCCCAACGTTTCCATCGTAATTTTTTTCACGATCTCTGTGGGAACAAGGTCGTATCCAAATTTCTATCTCTCTATTTCAACACTCTTTAAAGATTGTGTTTCATAGTTTTATTCTATATACTAAACATGAACTGAGAAGACGATTGGTTTATACTTTTCAATACTTTTGCTCTCTATATTGTCACGGCCTTTTGCTTTATCAAATATTTTTTATGTAAATTTAGCTAGTAGAACTAATGATTAATAGCTTTTTTCAGAATTATACCAAAATCATTCTTTTAAAGAATGTGTATCCAAGGAGTTCTTGTGTAGTTTAAGTTGATATAAAGTTAAATATGTGCTCTGTGTATTTAAATTTTTATATTTTATATAATTTTCAGTCAGGTGATTATCTAGCAATTAAAAAAAAAGCAATTTTTATAATTCTAATTGTCACTTATGAAATGTAATAAAAATTTATTTTAATCTCAAATTAACAAAGAAATGATACAATATTCAAATAGATTGAGAAATATACGATTCTTGAGTTGTATAAAACAAACTTTATGGTCTTATTTTTTATGATAATAAATTTCTTAGAAAAACTAAATATGAAAACAATTCTCATTCCTTCTGAACTCAAATATCATGCGGTATGATTAACATTCAATGATCTTTGTTTCGCAAATTTAAGCAAAACATAATAAGTGGCTGTAGTTGATTGTTTCAAACAATTGTATAATTATTTAATATTTGTCAATGGCATTACATTTTATATGTTGCTTCTCGACTGTTAATTAATCAAGATAACCGTAATATTGATAACTGATTACATTTTTAAACTAAATCTATTAGATGTGCACTTGAATGATTCATTTTCTTTCATTATATTCGTACTTTATAATGAACCAATTAAATTAATAGTTTCACGTGAAAATTGAAGTCTCATTTCTCTATATGACTGCTTGATACGTAATCATAATCATGCATTCAAGCAAGTTCAATATTTAATGCTCGTATAGTCTTAGTGTCGGACGTTGATGTGATGCTAGTCTAAATAAGCCTGTATATATAAAATTTTCATACACAATTTATACAATAAGTATAATCATCAATTGGTTTTGAAAACATTTTTGTTGCTCAAGAAACATAACGAATATTAAAGATGAACCTAACTTTATTATTTAGTTCTGAATACAAACACGAATCAAAGTGGAACACATGTGTTTATAATAGATATTGACAATAAGAAGAAAAAAAAGGTGAAAGAAGAGACAGGAGAAAAAGAAGGGGATATGACATGGATGATGTTTGATTTGTATGTTAACAGGAGTTATGACCGAATTGATAAAACTTTAGAATGTTCCTTTATTCCAACCCATCATATTGCCAGCAATGTTTGTAAATTTTATATACATTCGATCTGCTTTAATATTAAGTTTTTCTTCAAAGAGACCCATAATTTCTTTACTAATTTTGGCTGTTTGATTCGTTGGTAATCCGATTGAAGTAAGTTCCATAAGGGCAGCTGGATCACTTGTACCGGAAAAGAATAATTTTTGACCTGCTGAAACATGAACAGTAACATATCCTTCAGGTTTGCCAAGCGCTTGTGCTACTTTTGCACTAAGTTGTTTAAGAAAATCATTTGTTATTTCATTGTCAGCTACATTTGTTTGTACTGTTAAAGCCGGCATCCTTTTATTAAGATAATATATTGAAATTCAATGAAGTAAAAGTATGTTATGTTTGGTTGGCTAGTTGATCTAAAACAAGAAACATCTATTCTTTAGAAAATCAAGTTAATGCATTCATGCCGTAGAAAAATTGAACCAGGCAAATGAACCCAAACAATGCGAACTAGTTCACAAAGAAAAAATGAAATGCACCAATGAAATTCTAGTCCGTATTGTATCATAATTGATCTATCTATCTCTTTTCTTTCATTTGATTGGCAACTGAGACAAGTGAGTTATAGTGAAACAAGTTTTGAATTTTTCAGTTTACTGCTTTTTTTCCACAATGGTACATTGTCAGAAAAGTTAAAAGACATTTCTTTCTCCCAATTAATAATAGGTACATTTGTCACCAGTGACATCTAGACGATTTTGGCTTATAAATACCGCCAGCAGGTTTTCATATAAAATACTCTGGAAAGAACAAAGCAACATTATTATGTGGTCGTGACTAACAGTTTGCATTTTACTGATAATGCAATTAGGAAAAGGCCTGTTTTTAGAGAGATTCTCATAAATGAACATCACACGACCATTCTCATTCAATTGAATATGAGAAAGTAGTGTGAATGGCAAGAGACTTGATTTCTGAAAGTATAGATAGACATAACCGTATCAATGATATAGACAATATCTGTTCATGAAAGAAATTATTGATCTTATAAAAAGGATCAAAACACTTGTATATCACGATGTTTTTTTTACGTCGAATAATCTAAATGAAAAAAATTACTAGCAAAATTCAATCTTAGAATTGGTAAGAATCAATCTAAAGGGTAGTCCAAAAGTTTCGACCCTTCTCAGTATATCGACGATATCTATAACAAACTTATACGAAGTAATTGATCAAATTATGTCATTTTGCAGAGAAAGATTAGAGCTACCATTTGAAAAAAAGAATTCAAAATACATAAATATATTACAATTCTATGGTCATTTTACTAATTTTGAGTGAAAATTTTTACGTTACATTTTAAAAAAAAAAGAAAGAAATCTTTAATGTTTGAGCCGTTAAAGCCGAGCCAAATATTAATTTCTACATATTTGTAATAGACATTTTTATATAGCTCGATAGAGTTCAACAAGCTCTACAAAAATATGAATATCAAGAAAAATTCGAATCCTGCTTTCAATATAAAACTCGAATGAAATCATGCAAACAAATAAAAATCTTACATATCTTTCATGAGCTAGTATGCTTAAGTTCCAAAAACCTTAGCTGATCGACAGTTAATTGATGTTTCGAGATGCAGTGTTACATACTGAAGCCGAAAATACCTCTTCTGAACTGCTTGAATAGATGAAACAGTCAACCAGCTAAAACTTTTGAAAGATCAACTTACTCTCTTTAATATTTGGTACATGAAATTTTTCTTGGTTTTTCTGGTTTCCGTTAAGTTTCATATTCAAAATAAAATCAAAAGCTTTGTAAACACACATATTCTTGTAGAGCTTATCGAACTCTCTCAAATCATGTAAAAATATCTAGAATACGATATATCGCTTAAGATGTTACAAACATATTTTGTTTTTCCAAAAAATGAATCGTAAAAATTTCCATTCAAGATTAGTAAAACGATGATAGGATTGTAATAGATTTATGTATTTCGAATAACTTTTTTTCAGATGATAGCTCTAATCTTCCTCTACAAAATGACATAATCTGATCAATAACTTCATATAAATTTGTCACACATATCGTCGATTTACTCAGGAGGGGTCGAAACTTTTGGACCACCCTTTACTTCCATGTTTCAGCGGTTTCCAGTGTTTTCCTGCCGAAATCGGCCCGTATTTCTTAATCCGAGTAAGATTAATGAGAAAAGAATCTTTCATAGATCTTTCAAAGATGTTCGAAATGGATCCTTATGTTTTTCCGATGGAAAACTGTTTGTTTCTTGCCGGTTTCCGACCGAAATACTGCTTTCATGATCCTGGTATTTTTCTGGCTGTTTTCGGCGGGAAAGACGCCGGAAACGACCATAAGAGTCCGCAAATTAGATAATGTCCTGCCGGTTCCTGAAGGATCCGGAGGCCGGAATCATCGATCTGGGTACCGTTTCCAAAAGGATTTATGAAAGAGTTCACGAAAATTACATAAACAGAAAAAGGGATTTTTATTCATTGTACTAT